GAACGGCTCCAACTCACTGACTCCTGATCAAAGCCAGCCTCAGCTTCTTGAAAAACCAGAAAAGTCACTTCTCAATTCCAAGGACAAACCCCTGAGAGACCTCTACCTAGAATTCTTCCCCTCCCTTTAGAGTTCTACATCCCTGGTCTCCTAGGAGTCCTCAACGCTTTCTCAATGTGGTCAGAATGTGGCCCACCCACCGGCCAACTGCTTTATCATCCTGCCCCTTCCTGCCCCAGTCCTGTGTGGGGCTGCAGTTCCCCACAGAGATGAAAATCCAGGGCAGGTCCCAGGACTTGTCTGATTACTCTCAAAGGATTAAAAAAAATGCCCAGTCACCCATGTTGGGTCACAGAAACATTCTCATGTTAGTAATCACTTTGTCCAGTTCACTGTAAGAATCAATAGTGCAGACTGATTCCAGGCAGCTCCCTCGCTCACCCCACCCTCCAAAGTGCCCCTATGCCTCTCACCAGTGCCCAGAGTTCCTGAGGTGCACAGAGAGGGAAAGGCACCCCAAGAGGGAAAGTGAGTGGCACTCCTAGCACACAACTGTCAAAGACATTTTCTCTCTTAATTTCCACCTGTTCTTTGAGGGGCTCCACTTCTTTCCTAGATGGGGAGGAGGGAGTTGGGTTAATAATTTCATAACCTGCTTTCAGGCATCTCCTTCATGAGTGCTGAAAGGGAGCTCTCTGGCACTCTATAAGAGAAGTTTCCTCCTGGAGTGCTGGCCAGAGCTGAGACAAAAAGCATCCTATGTTAACATCCTGTTCTGTGGACGGTGTTCGAGAACAGTCTGGAGTGTCACAGAGACCATAACACCAAAGGAAAAGTCCTTCACTGGGTGGGGACAGGGGAACAGGCCAGAAGCAAAGTCCTAGATTGAGTTGCTGGGAGAAAGGAGATATTGGAGATTCCACTCTGCCTTGTATGGGGGTACACCTGTGACCTCCTAGCCTGCAAAAGCAGCATGTGCTATGTGGCCTTGGGGGGCTCAGACAGGCAGGGTCATACTACCTAGTGTCTTCCACTTCCTGCAGTTTTCAGAAGTCAGAGGTTCTGGGGTAGGAGTGCTGGCTGCCAGGTTTTACCTTGAGCCACCATGGTCCCTGTACCCCAGATGGCTTCCCTGCCTTGGGAAGGAAGTGGAGCTCCACCCTGTTGTCCCTGAGGCTGAAAGTTTGACATCTGGCACCTACCAGGCTATGGGGAGGTCAGTTCCAGGAATATGAACTGTGAGTAAACAGCAGCTTTCTGAGCTACAGATTAAAAACAAACAAACAAACAGAAAACAACCCAGCACTTCACACCCATTTGGGCTAGCAGAAAATTACAGTCTGATGCTACCCAGTGTGGAGGGAACAATGGAATGAAGAACAACAATGAGGACTTTCATACGCTGCTAGTAAGAGTGGGCAAGGCCCAGGTTTAACCCTAAGCTTGTACAAATTAGGGACCTTTATCATAAAAGAATATAAAATGAGGTTGGATCTTGGAAGGGGCATAAGCAAATGGAAGACCTGAGCTTAATTAAGTTTCATAAGTTTCCCAGGAACTCTGCTCCTGGAATGTATAAAAATGGAGCAACATTTTGGACAGGAATGTGATACTAGCTAGAAAAACGAAGAGGTGTATTCCCTAGGGCCCTGCAAGTCAAATCCTTTATGGGTTCCTGAAGAGATTCCCAGCGTGGAACTGAAGCAGCAAACCCATGGATGTCCTAGCCAAGCTGTCTGCAACAGTACCAAGCAGCCACTAGGGAAGAGCCCAAATGTCCATCAACAGAAAATGGATAAACAGCATCAAAATGTATAAGCCTCAAAACAAGTTTGCATGAAAAGCATGTTGCAGAAGGATACCTGCAGGCTGACACTGTTTTCACCAAGTGTGAAAAAGTATAAAGCAGGTAGAGTCTGTAGACAGTTGGGTGTGCAGTCAAGGTCTTGCTTGGGAGTAATGAACACCACATTCATCTCTGGGGCCCTCGTAGTGGGAGAGAGAGAAGATAATAATAGGATATCCAGGGGACTTAGAAGCAGCCTGAAAGACTATTTCCTTAATACTGAAGGGATTATATGGCAAAATATTGATATTTGACAAAGTTGAGTGATAAGTACATGGTGCCTATTAAAGTATTTATATACTTTTCTGTAATATTTGAAAGATTCATTTTTTGAAATTGAAGTTTTCATATCATAAAACTAACAATTTTAAATTGATAAACTGAATGGCATTTAATACATTCACAATATTGAGCAGTCAACCAGCTCTAATTTCAAGCATTTTCATCAGCCCAAAAGAAAACTCTGTAACCATTAAGCACTTACTTCCCATTTCTCTCACCTTTCAGCCCCCTGGCAAATACCAGTTTGCATTTCATCTCTTTATGTGACTTTTTTTGTGTGTATCTGACTTATTTTCATAGCGATCTCAAGGTTTTCAACTTATCTATATCAGTACTTCATTCCTTGCAGTGACCCAATGATATTCCATCATATGAACACATCACACTGTTTATCCGTTCATCTGTTGATGGACATTAGGGTTGTTTGCACTTCTTGGTTATTGTGGGTAATGCTATGAACGTGCAGGTACATGTACCTGGTCAGGTTCCTGCTTATAATTCTTTTGGTTCTAAATCGAGGTGTGGGATTGCTGGGTCATGTAGTAATTGTTTTTTGAGGAGCCACCAAACATTTTCCACAGCAGCTGCACCACTGTCCACTCCCACCAGCAATGTTTGAGGATTCCAGTTTCTCCACACTCTGGTCAGCACATGTTATTTTCCAGTTTTTTTGACAATCACCAAACTAATTACATGTGAAGAGACTGTAGTTTTGATTTCATTTCCCTAATGACTAATGAATGGCAAGCATCTTTTCATGCACTTATTGGCCATTTGTCTATCTTCTTTAGAGAAATGCCTACTCAAGTTCATTTACTATTTTTTAACTGAATTGTGCGCTTTTTGTTGTTGAGTTGTAATACCCATAATTATAAAAAACAACCCTTTTAGGGTAAGCCAGCGCCTCCTGGGACCCTCTAATTTCAAGTCAGTCCACACATCAAGACACATACAGCTTTGTATTTCTGATCCAATCTGTGCAGAGGAAAACAGAAAGGACTGGCTTGGTTTCTCCCGTTCTCCCAAGGCACCCCATGTGCCCATCTCCACTCAGGGAGGGAGATGGGAGTTGACCACTGAGGTGTCCAGGACTTCTCTGGAAGTGGGGATGAGGGAGCAGGCGGTGAGGTAAAGGAGAACCATTTCTCAGACAGTTGTGAGGGAAGTGGTCAGGCAGAGAACTGTGTCTTCTAGAAGTCCCAACTACCTCAGGTCACAAAACCATCCTGAAAGAGAACTTTTCCATGAAATCCATGACTCTGAGATTTCCCATGCTGGGCGCTCTCTCATTTTGATTGACTGGTGGATCAGGGGAACCCTCTTGTCCCCTCCCCTGCAAATCACACTGCCTGGCTGTACAAGCAGCTACAGAAGCAGAGAAGTCACTTATTAGTGTGATGGATGACACTCCAGGAAGAACTTTTGTTACTTAAAAATCCTCTGTCCCATAACAATGATGATGAAACTGCCTTTGCAAAGACAGCAATCCCTGAAGGAACAGCCCATTCCTTGTTCCCAAGTTATGGGCACTATATGTGCAGAAACCTAGCCTAAGGCAAGCACAGGCTAAGTGCTTAATAGATGCAGAGATGAGCCATTTGGAAAAGAATGTTCCAGAGGGCACATTCAGACCCCAACAGATTGCCCCTCCCCACTCTGTGCCTGGGGGTTCCTATCTATAAATGGGGGGGGGCTGGGCTTAGTGAAGTCTAGATTTTCTTTCAGAAAATCACTTTCTTGATTCTAGCTAGCCCCAGGATCTGAAGTCTGGGTACACAGTTTTGGCTTCAACTCAATTCTCACAAGTTCTGTGACAAAATACCACTAGGCAACTGTGACCCCCCCCCCAAGCCCTCCGTGGATGAACCTGCTTGCTCCCTTTGGTATTCATACCCTTCTGCCTTCAAGCTGTCCATAAGAAGCAGGGGTCCTTTGTTAAACCACCAGGTTTGGACAATTTCTCTTCCAACTAACTCTCCAGACTATCACTTCTGAGCTTGGAATGTAGGGAAAGGAGTCTGGGAAGCTGCACGGCACAGCAGATCCCCTCCAGGTAAGGCTCTCGACCCCCTGTGAGCACTTACTGGGAACCCAGAACAGACTTCCCTAACTCACAGGTGAAGGCTGAACTGCTCCAGGGTGAGGAGGGTCCAAGCACAGGTGAAGAGGTTTTCCCAGCGCTCAAGGTCAGCCAAGGCTCAGGAGCTCAGCAGCCCCCCTCCCTCCCTGCCCCACCCCACACAGGACAGAGTGATTGTGGAGGAACAAACGATGGCCTGCTTTATTATTTTCAGATCAAAGGTGCTGCAAATATGTCCTCTCACCAGAAACTTTCAATAACCAGAACAGATAATCCCAATTCAGCTCCTCCTAGGGATCCACCTAATCTCCAAACCTCGGTTGGTGAAACTCTGGTTTCTTTTGCTGATTTTTTTTTTTTTTTTTTTTAAGAAATCCTAACCCTGCAAAAAGCTGGACAACTCTGCAAGGACGTTGCTCTCTAACAGGACTTCTCTGTGCCGCCCAAGAGAAGCAGGCTGGGAGCGCAGCTTTGGAATCAGCACGCATGCACCTGAGGAATCTCAGCCCGCATCCACCACAAGTTGTTAATTTGGTTTTTCTAGCTAAATCCTGTACCCCTGCCCTCCCTCCCCCCACTGCCGTTGTCTAGAAGGGACCAAACTCCTGAGGTGGAATGGGCTGGGATGAGGGAAAGACTTTCCTTACCGCGGTCGGGTTACCCCGATGCCCTGGGGACCCCTACAGATGCCGATTGCGCGGGACTGCGGTGCTACGCTGGGGCAAGCGCTCAGCACAGCTCATCCCACCCTTTCTTTCCCCAGCACCCTCTCCGGGCGCGTGAGGCACTCACAAACTCGAAGATAAAGAGGAGATCCGGGAAGCTGGTGAAGACCGCGAAGCCGCTGGGCAGGGAGCTGCCCCCCGACGCCGCTGCGGGGGCCATGCCGGCGTGCTGGCGTCGACCTTGGGACCGGGCGCGCTCGGCTGGGACTCGGAGGAGTCAGCTGGTTCCCGGCGGAGCCCAGTGACCGTCGCGCCCCCGCGCGCGGGTTAAGAGCTGGGGAGCGAGGGGCCGAGCAGGGAGGAGCCAGGCCAGAGCCCGCCCCGCGTCTGCCAGAGCCCGAGAGGAGCGCCCCGAGGTACCCAGCCGGAGCGCCGCGGGCACCGCCCTGAATCACACCAGGCGCCGCGGGCGTGCGGGGCGAGGGCAGGGGCCCGACTCCTGAGCCCCAGCACCGAGTGCCACCTTCCACGGTGGGGTGGGGTTTGGGGACACCGATCAACGTCTTTGGTGAGGCGCTCCGGACACTTTGCTCTCTTGGCGGGTGATCACCATCCCTTAAGAATAACCGTGTAGGGCCTCCCCAGTGGCGCAGCGGTTGAGCGCTGGGTTGCGAAGCTGCCCGCGGCCTCTGCGGCGCCGGTTCGATCCCCGGCTGCTCCCACTCTGGCTCTGGTGAATTCTCTCACCCTCCCGCGCTTCTGACTGTACCCAGTGCTTGTTTAACAAACAAACAAATAAAGGAATAAAATACATGCCTCTTAAAAAAAAAAAAAAGAAAAGAATAACCGTGTAGAGCCTCCCTGGCGGCGCAAGGGGTTAAGCACCGCACTACGAAGCAATCCGCAGCCTCTGTAGCACGAGTTCGATCCCCGGCCAGGGAGCTATCCACATGGTGCAGCAGACTTCTCCTGTCTCGCACACTGCTCCTCTCAGCAGTGTATTTCATTCAGTCTGCCTGTTCTGTCCCCCACTCTGTCTCTGGTGAATCCTCTCACCCCCCGCATCTCTGGCCTGTACCCCAGCTCTTGTATGCATAAATAAATCTTTTAAATAAATAAAACTTAAATGAAAATAAGTACAGTGGAGATAAAGAGAATATTAATTAAAAAAATAGTGTATAAAGAGGCCCCCGAAACTCTTCACCGTGGCTCAGGTCACCATTGCTTAAACTGGTGTTAGGTTGGGTCCCCATCTTTCCGCTGGGAGCATGCATATGTTGCAACCTCCCGGTGCAGACACGTTGAAATGAGTTCTGGGTTCTGGCTCTGGCTGGAGGTTGGAGTCTGCAGAGGCGGCTGTGAGATCAGCTCTGGCCACGCACCCCTTCTTCCCAGAACCCGCGGTCCATTCTGCTGGATTCTGGAGTCGCGTGTCAGTCTGTGCGAGGGTAGGAGGTTGCTCCTAGCTGCGCCAGCCCAGGAGAGCTGCTGCTGGTGGTGCTGCAGGCGGTGTGCTGGCTAGATTCACACTGAAACCAAGGGACAGGAAGGGGCACTCGGGGCAGATTTATTCCCTTCTCTTGGGGGTAGGGGGAGGTTAAGTCAGCACCTCTGCGGGTGGGATGACTCCTCCTCCCCTTGTCCTTTGCCTGTTCTATTTTTTTTTTTTAAGATTTATTTTTATTTATTTATACAAGCACTGGGTATAGTCAGAAGCGCGGGAGGGTGAGAGGATTCACCAGAGCCAGAGCGGGGAGCAGAGCAGGCAGAAGGACCCAAGCACACTGCTGAGGGGAGCAGCGGGCGGCAGGAGTGGTCTGCGCGCCATGTGGGACCCTCCTCCGGTGGGCGGGGAGCAGCCGGGGATCGAACCCGCGCCGCAGAGGCTGCGGGCAGCTTCGCAACCCAGCGCTCAACCACTGCGCCACCGGGGAGGCCCGCCTGTTCTATTTTTTTTCTAGACCAGTTTTATTATTTTTCTGATTCTATTTCTAAACTAGAACCAATTCCAGTAGCTGCCTATTTATTTTAAATTTTTACTGATTTTTTTTTTCTTCTACAAATTCTAAGCCTGAAATGTGCCCCCAGTTCAGGGCATGCCCCTAGCTCATAATTCCATATTGCAGGCTTCATTCACCCACAGGGCACTGGGGATCCCTGCTGTCTAGTGAGCCCCTACCCTTTCTCCTCCACACAGCTCACTTTATTTCCCACGGCCTATGGGGAGAAGTAAATTCCTGGACACACTTTCTAAAGAAAAATCAATGCCCACGAGTGGTCCATTCCGATCACTTATGGAAAAGAATGAGGTATTTGAAATAAGAAAACCCCATTGCTGTCTTGCGAGCCTCCTGGGGCTGCTGGCCTTGGCTACTTGAGATCCAGGATGCCATTGTGTCAGGGGCCCTTGGTTCCCACCAGGTCCCAGGGCAGGACCTGATGGCTTGGATGAGACTACATGGGCACTGTGGGCTCTGGATTGTCAGGGACCCTGGCCCCAGGCCCTCACTCTCCCAGAGCATCTTGTACCCTATCAGCTGGACTTTTTGATCCTGGGAGAACTTGAAGAGACAAGTGGGACAAGCCTCAAGCACAGAGGCCATAGAAACCCAGTGACAGGAAATGAGAGCAGCCTCAGGCAAATCTAGCCAAAGCTAACAATTATATTTTTTAATCTGTGACTGACAGATAAGTTTTGTTGTTTCGTTAGTTCAGGTGTTTTTTTTTTTTTTTTTTTGCTAGCTATTTCAAACCTTTATTGCTAAGTCCTTCAGGTTTGGGCCTGTGACACTGGGGAGAAGGCACAGCTGGAATATCTCAGTGAAGCTGATAGCCTCCAAGTCTTCTTTGATAAAGCCTAAGAGGTTGCAAAGGATTAGGAAGGTAGCCTTGGCCAAGGGCAATGTTCCTTTTCTGTGATATCCTCATCTCACCTATCATGTTCATCTTCCTGAGCATGTACTACCCCTTCAGGGGATCCCTGAGCCCACCTCCATCTATCTCATTTCCTGCCAATGCACATCCTCAGTGCTTGAATGAGAACCTAGCCCATAGTAGGTACTCAATAAATGTTTGTCCAGTACTAGGATAGACCTGATCTTGTGCTTAGTCACTCAAGGAGGAAGTGGAATGACTCATCTGAGTGTGAAGAGAGTGACAGGAAGTAGAGATGGGTCTGTCTTCATGTCACAGCAGGACTTCTCTAGGCTACTTTGGGCCACTAGCTGATGATTTAGGTGGTTCATATTTATAAGATGCCCAGGGCCATACTGTGGTTCCCAGCAGGACATGAGAAAGCAACTTCAGCCAATTATAGCTCATTGCTATGTCCTTGGCTTTCCTGGCAGCCTAGTGGGTGTGCCTGTGAGGGTCAGTGTGGGGTGGATCTGGGCTTCTGTAAAAAAATAACATGACCTACGGCTGATTTCTATGATGTAGAAACTAGAAGGTAACAATTGCCCTGCCAGCAGAAGACAGAAGATGTCACCTCCAATTTGTGGCAGAAGATAGGGTGGAGGAGGGAGGAGAGAAATGGAGGACCAAGAAGGGATTGGGACAGAGGGCCTCATCCAGGGAAAGATTCATGGGACAGAAATTGCCAATAAATGGTAATAGGTGTGATTTGCTTTGAAGTCTATAAAATGACTCCTATTTTACTGCATGGAGACTCAAAGGTAAAGGAGCTTCCCCAGGACACACAGCTGGTGAGTGGTGGAGCACATCCCTTATGTGAGTGACGCTTGCTGCCAGAGCTGCAAGCATCCGATTGTGAACACACTTAAGATGGGCAACTGCCAATCAAATTCCATGCCTCGGGCAGACCACAGGCAGCCACCTGAATCCAGTCTTAGTGGTCATCTCTAGTGTGACACTGGACACTTGTTCCCTGAGTCATCTTTGCCTGGCTGATAGAGCTCTGGACCGTTCCTCCCCTGACTGAGAACACAGGGTTGGAGGTCAGCACCCCTGTTTATGGATGGGGGAGCTGGATGAAGGCCCAAGTATGGAGGGTTACCCTAGGCCAGCACTTTATTTGTTTGTCTGCAACACCCAGGGCATGTTAAAATTTCCATCATGGCATGACAGTGAGGGCACCTGCTGGGCGGATGACTTAATGGCAGTTTCGACTGTTTCGGCTCTGGAAGAACAGATAGAGCCAGCATGGCCGAGGACCTACTAAGTGGCCAACACTGCCAAAGGCACTTTGCCCACATGACCTCATTGAATCACGCAGAGCCTTTTGAGTAAGTATCACCCCACCATGAAGGCTTGGGGGCAGGGGCACTGTCCAGCTAGGCATGAAACTGGCCTCTTGTCTCTAGAAGACAGACTGTCCACTGCCTCTGTGCCTGTCACACAGAATTCACACTGAGTGGTGCCTGCTTACCAGAGATCTGTCCTTTGATGGTCTCATGGGAACTGTGCCCTGCCTTCTCTAATGACAAAGACAGTCCCTTTTGATCTTTATTGCTTATTCCCACCCTCTCCTAGGTTTGTGTTTCCTGGTACCAGGGGGACTTGACATTCTCCCATCACCTGAGAGAGTCATTGCCAAGCTCTGCGGTTCTGAGGATGTATCAGGGACTGACATTGCTGAGTGCTGTGGGGACAGAGAGTGGAGGGTCTTTGAGTAAGGAAGACACAGTCCCTGCTCCCTAGGGGAATTTGATCCAAATGGGACATCACATTCAGAGCCCAAGGACACCTGAGCTGGGCCTGTAATGGGTGCTTTCCCTGTCTCTGTAGGCTAAACCCTGAGGGATGTCACTTGAGATGTTCTATAGCAAGTTTAGGGTGGGAACAAGTTCCCCTTTCTGAACACTTTTGGGGTGCCCTGATGATATAATAGTAAACTGAATATTGATCCCTGCCCTCCAACCCCATCAAGCTCCAGTTCAGTAAATGCTAGGCAATGGGGGATAGCAGGGCACAAATGGTCCTTGTCTTTGTGAAGTCTATTGTAGGGTTCATGCAGACCAGAAGCAAGTGCCAGTGCAGCATGGCTTGGCCTGCTAATCAAGGATGCTAGTGGGAGCAGGTGACCACTGAGTGAGTGAGCAGTGGCTAAGTAGGGAGAGAGGCTGGCCTGTGGAGCGGCAGCACTACGGGGCCTGGCCTAGCACTGCTCTGCAAGCCGAGAGGGCTGCAAGCATAACTGGGGACTTCTGTAATGAGGGTCAGAGGCACTCAGGTGGGGGGCAGGGAGGAGAACGTGAATACCACACGTGTCCAGAGCAGAAGGAAATAGACCTTGGGAGTGAGTTCTGGCCTCAGCCTGGGGGTGTGGGCAGCAGTCTCCAATCTCTGAGAGGAGTAGGGTGGCTCCTGGGGCAGAGCTGGAAAGGCCAAGCAGGCTGTGCCTAGAGGAAAAGAGGTAAGATTCAAAGGGTGTAAGGATTACATCAAGCTTCGTCATTTTTCCTGTTCATTCCGGAGATTAATTGGGCTCAGTCCCTCTGCCCTAGAGAGAAGGGCCAAACCCTGCACCTCTACCCTAAAACTCACAACTTGCCTAGCGAGTTGCCCTGGGAATTTGGCCCCAAAGAGCAGATGTGCAGAGCCGGGTGGGGCCAGCGGGCCTTCGGAATGTGGTCTTAGCAGGCTCACTCCTGTGGAAGCACCTTCCTTCCAGGTTTCACTGACAACACCCATCAGATTGACTTGGCCACACAGCTGCTTCTTCCACTGGAAGCAGTTGTTGAGTAGCTATCAGAATTTAGCATCCTGGAGCAACCTTAACCTTCAGGCCTTTTACTCTGAAATGTACTTCTACCTGGGTCTTCCTCCAAAGGCTCTGTGAGGCCTGTGCCCACCCACCCAGTCAGGATGGATGGTCAGGAACCCACCTTCTAGAAAATCCACTAGCCCTACAGACATGGAGAAAGTAAGGAAAACCTTTAACCTCCCTTTTACATGCAAGTGGGTCCTCTGCTGCTGGCTATTCTCAGCATTTCTAATTTCTCTTGAAAAAAATACACTCACACTTAGAAAAAAGAGAAAATAATACTCATGGCCCCTGATTCTTCTCAATTAGGCAACTGTTTTCATCTCTGTGTACTATCTTTTAGGGCTCCTCTTTTAAAGCAAACTTGTTACTTTCCCAAGCTTCTGTTTCCATATATTGACTTGTCCATTCTTTCACCCTCAAACGCGCCCTCCAAGTGCCATGCCCAAGCTGAGCATAGGTAACCAGCCTGGAAAGGGAGGCATGTGTGGCAACCTCGGTGAAGCGTTGCACCTGCCAGTATTCCAGGGTGGGGGGCTAGCAAGGCCCTTGCCAAGGCCCACGTAGGTTTTCCTTCTGGGGAAAGGAGGGCTTCCCAGCAAGTTCTGGTGTGTTCAGTCCTAGGAATGCTTGGCCAGTGCCAAGCGACTGAAACAGAGTCCAAACAATAGTCCCTGAATAGGCCCAGGGACCCTGGAGATCCAGAACAGCATGAAATAAAATATACAATAAAACCGTAATGAAGCAGAATAGAAAACTTGATGAGAAGAACAATGAAACATTTTTATGGAGGGTGGAAATTACTTGCTAGTTCATCTCTAGGTGCCTGTGCTTAGCACTGTGCTGGGTACATGAGAGGGGCAGTGAGTGTTTGTTGAAGGACAGGGAGATGGGGTGGGAGAAGGGAGGTAAGGATGGGAGGGGAGATTAAGCATATCATCTTCTGGAAAGTCAGGGAACACTCACCCTCCACTGGGGCCCTGTTTCGTTGGTTTCCCAGCCTTGCCTATGAAGTGGGGCCTGAAGGAAGAGGAGGGAAGGAAATGTTCTATGGTCTATGACTCAGAGCAGCCAAGGCCTTGGAAGGTGGGTAGTAGACCCTGCTGCTTCACCTGGATGGCAGGCTCCAAGCAGGCGCACCCCAGAGGTGTGCAGGAAACAGCCCAGAGGCCGGAACATCACCACAGCCTGTGGGGGCAAGGGCTGGACCCTCATCTGACCAGCCCATCTGGTTTGGGGAGCAGTCCTGCCCAGTGCACCATGGGAAATGATTCAATCCTCATCACCTCTCAAATCCTTCACCTCCTCTAAACCCCTTAAACGTCAGAGAGACCAGAATCCTGGCATTACCAGGCTCTCTGAGACGACATCTCTCCCTGCCTCCCTTCCCCTCTAATCTGATCTTCCCTACTGCCTCGGGGCAAGGAGGCCTCTTCTCAAGAAGTGATTGTGACCACATCCACTCAGCATAGGACCAGTCACCCAGATCTGCGAGGTCTGTGTCCACAGAACCATGGGAGGCCGTGCCAGTGCTGGGAACGGGCCAGTGGATGTTCAGGGGAGGGTGGCAAGAACAGCATCTTTTAGAGGTGAAAAGAGAAAGTTATGGGCCTCCCCGGTGGCGCAGCGGTTGAGCGCTGGGTTGCGAAGCTGCCCGCGCCCGAAGAGCCGGTTCGATCCCTGGCTGCTCCCCGGCCACCGGAGGAGGGTCCCACATGGCGCGCAGACCTCTCCTGCCGCCCGCTGCTCCCCTCAGCAGTGTACTTCGGTCCTTCTGCCTGCTCTGCTCCCCGCTCTGGCTCTGGTGAATTCTCTCACCCTCCCGTGCTTCTGACTGTACCCAGTGCATGTATAAAACAAACAAACAAACAAATAAATAAAGCATAAAAAAAAAAAGAGAAAGTTATATATCAATATATAAAGCACAACCCATTTTTTTCTTCTAAGAAAATGCAAATTTGTAATTGCACAGAAAATAAGAACCTGGAAGGACAGAAAGCACACGAATAGTGAATACACAAGGGTTCCTTTGAGGCGGGGTGGTAGGTGAGGGTATGTGGGATTAAGGGTAGGAGACAAATGTTTTTCCTTTAAATAGTGGACACAGAACAAAAAACGTGTAAGTAGAAAATATGTCAAAAGAGAGCACATCTGGGCACCAGTCTGCTCACCTGTGGAGTCTCTTCCTCCCACCATGCTGCAGAAACAGCCAGCTGTGGGCAAAAGACCATGGATCTCATAGCTCCCCACTTTGCAAGTATTTTTCTTCTCCCTACCTCCAAATGACCCCAACCTCCAAGATGCAGTCCAGAGGTGTGGCTGGGCAGAGCATGTTGCGAGCCTCTTAGCCTGAGGCCTGGGCTGATGAACACCTGGCTCTTTGTTTGTTGGGGCTGCCTCAGTTTACCTGGTTGTCCCAGCCCCTTGCTTGGGGGTCTCTCCCATAGGATGAAATGGACCATATAGGTTTCTGGAAGTTCTTCCGCTCCTGTTTTTCACTTCTGCACATCAACTCATACTAGGTCTTTGTACGAGGTCCCAGCTGCGTCACTTTATCACAGTGGTTGCCCTCTCTCTCTCGTCTTGTTGAGTGTACAACAGACTTCAGAGAGCACTCAGATGATAGTGAACTGGGGACATGGGTCAAAAATCTATTGTTTACTCATTGTACAAATTCAGACAAATCACTTGACCTCCATGTCTATAGGAGGACAGAGTAATCACACTCTCACAGGGCTGTTTGTGAGTGAAATGAGATAATGCATGTCAAGCACCTTTCGTGAAGTAAATGTCAAGGCATGGAGGCTGCTATCAAGAGGTACTCAAAAAATGCCCCCGGGGCCTCCCTGGTGGCACAGGTGGTTGAGCGCCGCACTGTGAAGCTATTCACAGCCTCTGCAGTGCGGGTTTGATTCTGACAGGCCAGCCGGCTGGGGAGGATCCCACATGGCAAAGCAGACCTCTCCTGTCTCGCCCGCTGCTCCCCTCAGCAGTGTATTTCATCAATCTGCCTGTTCTGTTCCCCACTCTGTCTCTGGTGAGTCCTCTCATCCTCCCGCACATCTGGCCTGTACCCCAGTTCTTGTATAAAAAAATAAATAAATCTTAAAAAAAAATGCCCCTAGGATTCAGTACCGTGTGTGTGTGTGCAGTGTGTACACACACATGTGCATGTGCTCTTTCATGTGCCTTCACTCTCAGAAGTAAAGTTTTCTCGCCTACTAGGACACAGATTCCATTAGAGAACATTCCAGCTCTCACACAAGCGTCCCGCCTCATTTCCTGGCGGTCACCTCCTGGGCCTGAGGCTATTTCTGTCCCTTCCTTTTTGGGCGAGTGGAAGTTTCTGTTCTGGTGGCTATAGGAGCCACCAACCATGAATGCCTGTGACTCAGAAAGTGGGAGGCCAGGCCAGGCAGCCCTATAGGTGGAGGTGGCAGGTGAGAGCTAAACCAGCAATGACATGAGCAAATGACACTGCTGATGTCCTGAGTCCTTAAAGGGGTCCTCATGGCTTTGCCTCTAGGGAAGGAAATCAAACTCAAAAAACTCCCAGAATTTTCATGAGCAAGTAAGATCTCTCAGCCCCAGTGGAAACCCAGCCTTGGACTTGCTGCCTTCTCTGTGATTCACTGCCACTGTTGCCTCTGTGATTCAATCATGACACTAAGCGACACCCAGGATGGCACCCTGGCTTTAGTCACCCCAGCAGCCCGCAGGAATGGTTCACCCCTGAATGGCCTCTTGGGACTATAGATGGGGACCCACCCCTCTCAGAAGGGGATAGAAGCAGAATTGCCACTGGCAGTCCCTTGGGCTCTGCCTTAGGTCAAGCCTGGTTCATCGTCCTGAGTAGCTGGTTTCCAACCCAAAGACCTCTGCTTGCCTCTGTGAGATCCCCTTACCTCTGCTCCAGCACCACCAGCACAGAGGGCTCTACTTTAAAGCAATCTTTTTTATTTTGGTAAAATACACTTGACATCAAATTCCATTTTAAAATGTATAGTTGTATAGCTGGTGGTATTAAGTACATATATATTGTGCAAGCATCTCCACCAGCTTTTTACCTTGTAAAACCGAAACTATATCCATTAAACAATAACTCCCCACCCCTGAAAACCACCATTATGCTTTCTGTCTCTGTGATTCTGACTCCTCTAAGTCAGAAATCACAAGATTTTTGTGAGTGACATTTCACTTAGCTTATATAATATCCTCAAGATTCCTTCCTGTTGTAGTATGCAGCAGAATTTCCTTCTTTTTAACGGCTGAATTTTATATCTGTAGGTACATTTTACTTAACCCCTCTCACAGAACACTCTACATGTCTGCTAGATCTACTTGGTTTATTGTGTCATTTAAGTTTTCTATTTCCTGACTTCTCTTCTCTTTAGTTCTCCCTTTAAGGTTTTTGCTTCATATACTTTGATATATGCCATTAAATACATAAATGTTTATAATTGTTTTCTTGCTGTATTGAAACTTATTGTTACATGATGTCCCTTGTCTCATGTAACTTTTTTATAATTTAAAGTTTACTTTGTTACTATTAGAGCAACCCCAGTCCTTTTTAGTTATTGTTTGCATGGACTGTCTTTTTCTATCCTTTCAACTTGTTCTTTGTATCCCAAGTGAGTCTCCTGCAGTCTGCATGTATTTGGATCATGTTACCATGTATTCTGTAAGTCTGGATCAGAGAGCTGAATCCATTTACACTTACCCACATCCATCCTCACCTTGCCTGCTTCCTTGCTCAAGACCTAGAAGTTGCTCAGGTCCTAGGCTCCTGTAAGATCCCCAGCATCTTCCTAGGTTCAGTGCTTCCAAACCTTTCCTGTGTCAGTGTTTGGCGTACTGGTGTTTCATAAGATTCACATATTCTTGGGCCTCCCTTTTGGTGTAGCGGGTTGAGCACAGCGCTGTGAAGCTGTCCACAGCCTCTGCAGCATGGGTCCGATTCCTGGCCGGCCAGGGAGCTACCCACATGGCGCAGCAGACTTCTCCTGGCCCACCCGCTGCTCCCCTCAGCAGTGTATTTCAGTCAGTCTGGCTGTTCTGTTCCCCACTCTGTCTCTGGTGAATCCTCTCACCTTCCCGCACATCTGGCCTGTACCCCAGCTATTGTATAAATAAACAAAATAAAAAGATTTAAATATTCTTTTGATGATGGACATTACACACTGAACTTGGATAGATGAAAAGCAGAATTTTTTGTTATTTATAGCTCTAACTGGGAGAGAGCCTCCAGGCAGAGTCACACAGGTGTTGCACCCATGGGCAGAATAACAGCAAGCTGGAGTTGTCAGGCAAGTGTGGCGAGTGGGGTAAAGTTAATTGGGATTTGTAGGCTTCCTGTAGATTGCTTAATTTAAATAATTTGATGTTGTGAGCCCCCGGGTGCAGATCCTGTCCCTGGTCTTTTGGTATTTGACCCTGGGGGCAGAGTGTATAGTGGTGCAGAGTGGTCCAAAGTGGAGAACCTGATAAGAGAAGTGGTTGACTGTGGACTTAACCAGCTGCTCAAGAGGTAAACTAAGCCTCCAGCCAGGGCCTCAAGACTGGGTTAAGATAGCATTTAAAACAGGAAATGAAACAAACACAATTATTGCATCTGACCTCTAATGCCTTGACATCAATTTTGAGTTTGATTATTTGAGGTGTTTGGGCGGCATGAATAATAGAGACTTTTGAGAGCAGGGAATCCATTGCCCTGAATGGTGCAGAAAATATTTTGCCATGAGGTTAAAGAAGGAAAGCAGGTTGAAGTGTAAGGAATGCTTGTAGTTCAGCCTGTCATCAAGTTTCCAATTACAAGGCAGTCATCAAGAAAACAGAGCTGAAATTTCTTGGATCTCTGGTAGTATCTTGGCAGAATTGTAAAGTGTGTTAAATGTATGGGTCACATTTTTGTGACAATGTCTCGGTGTATTTCTTGGACCAAGGTTGGAGGATCTGAACTGATAGCTTAGTTAGGTGACATGTAAAGGTTGATGGTATT